CTCACCCCCCCTCTAGTCCACCCTTCTAGCCCGCCGCCTTGCCCGGTCCTCGCTCGGTCCGCGCTCGGTCCGCGCTCGGTCCACGCTCGGTCCACAGCCGGTCCTCGCGCCCGGCCCGCGGCCGGTCCTCGCTCGGTCCGCGCTCGGTCCGCGCTCGGTCCACGCTCGGTCCACAGCCGGTCCTCGCGCCCGGCCCGCGGCCGGTCCTCGCTCGGTCCGCGCTCGGTCCGCGCTCGGTCCACGCTCGGTCCACAGCCGGTCCTCGCGCCCGGTCCGCGGCCGGTCCTCGCTCGGTCCGCGCTCGGTCCGCGCTCGGTCCACAGCCGGTCCACAGCCGGTCCTCGCGCCCGGTCCGCGCCCGGTCCGCGGCCGGTCCTCGCTCGGTCCGCGCTCGGTCCACAGCCGGTCCTCGCGCCCGGTCCGCGTCGGTCCGCGTCGGTCCACAGCCGGTCCTCGTGCCCGGTCCGCACCCGGCCTATCACCAAGTGCCGGTGAAACATACATCGACGACTGGGCGGTCCTCGTGCCCGGTCCGCACCCGGCCTATCACCAAGTGCCGGTGAGACATACGTCGACGACTGGGCGGTCCTCGCGCCCGGTCCGCAGTCTGCCTATCACCAAATACCGGTGAAACACTGGACTTTGTGGGGACATCTCAGTAGTGAAACCGTGTGGTGAAGTGAAACTTTTGTGCCAACCTCTGGATTGCAGTGTTTCTCTGGACTGCAGTGCACACCCCGGACTTTTGGACTGACGGACAGTAAGTGACCAAGATGCCGATAGCTAGGTCACCACCACCACCCCCTGCCCGAAGAGTGACCCGCGCGGGATCGCGGGAAGGCACTGTGGCGCCAAGCACCCAGCCCGTCTCTGGCTCTCCGCCCCTCAGTAGGCTTTCTGAGGCGCACTCCGTAGACAACTCCTTCGTGTCCCTGGAGAGTGGGAGTGAGAAGTGCCCGTCACAACCTGGCCCGGTGGGAACCGCTCGGGCTGATTCACCGCACTCGCTGGACTCCGTCGACTCGGAGATTCATCGACCTCCTGTGGCGGCCACTCCGCGCTCGCGCAGCACTTCTGCCACCAGCGCCCCGCAGTCAGCCTGCAAGCGCAAGATACTGGCCACTCCCTTCCCCAAACCCGACTTCGGAGACACGCTCTTCACCCCACTGCTTCAAGAGCTCCATGGCCTGATGGCCAGTATACCAGCGTTGCTCAATGAGGAAAAGAGTGTGAGGAAGGAGAACCGCGAGCGGGCGGTCCAGTGTAGCATGGACGCGGCTCGATTACTTCAGAAAATACACCTTAAATACCTGGAAGTATCTACACCTAGCCGGGAAGGAAGCTTGGCGCAAGTAACACCTGCAGCCACTGCTGCCGCCACCGCCGCCACCACCAACAGCCACTGCTGCGAGGAGACGCTCGCAGCCGCCGTGACTAAGGCCGTGACCCAGGCGGTAAGAACCGAGTTCGGGCGCATGAAATCCATCTCGCCCGCCCAGCCCATTGGTACACGAACCTACGCCCAGACCCTGGCTTCCACGCCGGCGCAGCCCAACGCTGGGAATTACCATCCTCCGCGGCGAGATGAGCAGAGTCCGCGCCCAGCTCTCATCATGGCATCAACTGCGCAGAAGGCCGACAGACAGCTGGTCACCAAGACCTTAAAAACCGCTGTGCCTTTTTCGGAGGTGAACTTCACGGCGGCCAGGATTGAGATGCTCTCCCGGGGGAAGGCAAGGGTAGAGTTCGACTCGGCCGACCACCTCCAGGAGGCCCTCAAACGCATCAACGACAGCACACACGCCTCTGGGGTCAGCGCCGAGCCCGAGAAGAGGTTAATGCCTATGGTTGCGCTCAAGGGCATCTCCAGGGATACAGAAAGCGAGGACCTTATTGATACCTTGTTCTCACAAAACCCCGAGCTGAGTAAGGAGGAGCAAGAGCGAGTTAAACTGCGGTTCCTTAGGAAGAACCGCAACCCGAGCCTTTACAACGCCGTCATCATGGTACCGCCGAAGGTGTACCAAGCCATCATCAACCTCGGTCGCGTGCGCCTCGACCATCAACGGGTGCACGCCGAAGACTTCTCACCGTTCGTGCAGTGTCGCCGGTGCCTGCTGTTTGGACATACGCAGGCGCGTTGCCCGGCTACTACTCCTGTCTGCCACCACTGCGCGACCGCCGGACATCAGGTAGCGGAGTGCCCCAACAGGGTTATGGCCCCTGTGTGTGCCAATTGTATCGCCTACAGAGCGAAATTTAAGACCGACTCGTCCGCCAAGCACTCGGCCTTGGATCAAGCATGCCCCAGATTGAGAGCCATGAGAAATCGCATTCTATCAAAAGTAGATTATGCCCCGTAGGAGCGACCCCAACATTCGTTTCATTCAAATCAATTTAGACAAGTCTCAGTCGGCTTTTTATGAGCTGATGTCTACCTTCAATCGTCGGAATGTGGGGGTTGCTGCGGTCTCTGAACCTTACAGGGGGGCGGGCTGCTTGGCCAAGGGCTCGGACCTGGCGGTCGTTTTCCAACAATCCGGGCACAATAACCCTGTTAGGGCCGCTATGTACATAGATAAGCAATTAGCTCTAGATTGTAAGGCCATTTTACTGTCACAATTTTGTTCCCCTGATTTGGTCACTGTTAGGATGTCCGTTGGGCGCATGCCCGTGTTTCTTGTGTCCATATACCTGCCCCCGAGGTGCAATGTAGCTGAATCCCCTACAGTTCAAACGTTGGTGCGCTTTTTGGATAGCATTGATAACTCCCGGTGCATCGTCATGGGGGACTTTAACGCCGCCCACCCACTTTGGGACTACGCGAGGGCGGCTAACTCAACCGGTCATTACATCTACAACTTTACCCAGACCAGGGATCTGCTATGTTGCAACTCGGGCCAAATTACGTTTAGGACGGTCACGCACGGCCGACCGCGGAGCAGTTCTATTGACCTGACTTTCATTGCATCTGACTTAGCACATCAAGTACGCGATTGGCACACGGAAGAAGACGCGATCACGGCGTCACAACATATTGCCATTGCTTTTGCATTAGTTACGTCGTCCTCTTATGTCCCCAACCCGCCGCCACAATCTACTTTTCGCTATAAAGTTTCACCCGCCACCGACTGGAGAGTGTTCAAGGACTCTCTCGCTGCGGCTATGATGGGGATGGATGTGGAGGCCGAGCAGTTGCCAGACTTAACACCATCTGAAGTGGATGCAGCTGTTCTGGGGGTTACGGCGGCCGTCTGCCGGGCTGCTGAGCAGTCAATGCCAACACGGCATGGCAACCTTCCCCCACCGCGAGCCCCGTTTTGGACCGCCGAGCTGTCGGCCATGAAGGGCCAAGTGGCTCGGCTTGGCCGGCGGATTGGCGCTCTGAGGAGGCGGAATCAGATCATGGGCCACTCGGACCCGATACTGGGGGAGTACGCGGACCTCAGGAGGCGCTATGCCCAGTCCATCTCTCGGGCAGCTAGGGATAATTTCAGGGAGTTTTGTCAGTCGCAAACATTGGAAAAGGTATGGACGGTGACGAACCCCGTCGTGCGCGCTGACGGAGCTCCCAGAAAACCACCTGCCACCCTGGCCACGCCGGACGGGCACACTGTTTCCGCGGAAGACTCTGCGGAATTTCTCCTGCGGCACTTTTATCCCGAGGACCCACCGGACCAGGACACCCCATTTCAAGCAGCTCTTAGGGCGGACCGGGACACCCTGCCCAATACCAGAGACGACCTCCCGTTCACCTTGGAGGAGATTATCGAAGCCTTAAGCTCAATTTCACANCTCGCGCCCGGTCCGCGTCGGTCCGCACCCGGCCTATCACCAAGTGCCGGTGAAACATACATAGACGACTGGGCGGTCCTCGCGCCCGGTCCGCGTCGGTCCGCGTCGGTCCGCGGCCGGTCCTCGCGCCCGGTCCGCGCCGGTCCTCGCGCCCGGTCCGCGTCGGTCCGCGGCCGGTCCTCACGCCCGGTCCGCGCCGGTCCGCGCCGGTCCTCGCGCCCGGTCCGCGCCGGTCCGCGTCGGTCCGCACCCGGCCTATCACCAAGTGCCGGTGAAACCTACATCGACGACCGTGTGGTCCTCGCGCCCGACCCTCGCGCCCGGTTATCACCAAGTGCCGGTTGAACTCACATCGACGACAGTGCGGTCCTCGCGCCCGACTCTCGCGACCGGTTATCACCAAGTACCGGTGAAACATCGGACTGTCTGGGGACACTGGGTTGCGACCTTCAACTGAGTGGTGAAACACTGTGTGGTGAAGTGAAACTTTTGTGCCAACCTCTGGATTGCAGTGTTTTTCTGGACTGCAGTGCACACCCTGGACTTTTGGACTGACGGACAGTAAGTGATCGAGATGCCGATAGCTAGGTCACCACCACCACCCCCTGCCCGAAGAGTGACCCGCGCGGGATCGCGGGAGGGCACTGTGGCACCAAACACCCAGCCCGTCTCTCGCTCTCCGCCCCTCAGTAGGCTTTCTGAGGCGCACTCCGTAGACAACTCCTTCATGTCCTTGGAGAGTGGGAGTGAGAAGTGCCCGCCACAACCTAGCCCGGTGGGAACCGCTCGGGCTGATTCACCGCACTCGCTGGACTCCGTTGACTCGGAGATTCGTCGACCTCCTGTGGCGGCCACTCCGCGCTCGCGCAGCACTTCTGCCACCAGCGCCCCGCAGTCAGCCTGCAAGCGCAAGATACTGGCCACTCCCTTCCCCAAACCCGACTTCGGAGACACGCTCTTCACCCCACTGCTCCAAGAGCTCCATGGCCTGATGGCCAGCATACCAGCGTTGCTCAATGAGGAGAAGAGTGTGAGGAAGGAGAACCGCGAGCGGGCGGTCCAGTGTAGCATGGACGCGGCTCGATTACTTCAGAAAATACACCTTAAATACCTGGAAGTATCTACACCTAGCCGGGAAGGAAGCTTGGCGCAAGTAACGCCTGCCGCCGCCGCCACTCCTGCCGCCGCCGCCACTGCCGCCACTGCTGCTGCCACCGCAGCCACCACCAACAGCCACTGCTGCGAGGAGGCGCTCGCAGCCGCCGTGACTAAAGCCGTGACCCAGGCGGTAAGAACCGAGTTCGGGCGCATGAAATCCATCTCGCCCGCCCAGCCCATTGGTACACGAACCTACGCCCAGACCCTGGCTTCCACGCCGGCGCAGCCCAACGCTGGGAATTACCATCTTCCGCGGCGAGATGAGCAGAGTGCGCGCCCAGCTCTCATCATGTCATCAACTGCGCAGAAGGCCGACAGACAGCTGGTCACCAAGACCTTAAAAACCGCTGTGCCTTTCTCGGAGGTGAACTTCACGGCGGCCAGAATTGAGATGCTCTCACGGGGGAAGGCTAGGGTAGAGTTCGACTCGGCCGACCACCTCCAGGAGGCCCTCAAACGCATCAACGACAGCACACACGCCTCTGGGGTCAGCGCCGAGCCCGAGAAGAGGTTAATGCCAATGATTGCTCTCAAGGGCATCTCCAGGGATACAGAAAGCGAGGACCTTATTGATACTTTGTTCTCACAAAACCCCGAGCTGAGTAAGGAGGAGCAAGAGCGAGTTAAACTGCGGTTCCTTAGGAAGAACCGCAACCCGAGCCTTTACAACGCCGTCATCATGGTACCGCCGAAGGTGTACCAAGCCATCATCAACCTCGGTCGCGTGCGCCTCGACCATCAACGGGTGCACGCCGAAGACTTCTCACCGTTCGTGCAGTGTCGCCGGTGCCTGCTGTTTGGACATACGCAGGCGCGTTGCCCGGCTACTACTACTCCTGTCTGCCACCACTGCGCGACCGCCGGACATCAGGTAGCGGAGTGCCCCAACAGGGTTATGGCCCCTGTGTGTGCCAATTGTATCGCCTACAGAGCGAAATTTAAAACCGACTCGTCCGCCAAGCACTCGGCCTTGGATCAAGCATGCCCCAGATTGAGAGCCATGAGAAATCGCATTCTATCAAAAGTAGATTATGCCCCGTAGGAGCGACCCCAACATTCGTTTCATTCAAATCAATTTAGACAAGTCTCAGTCGGCTTTCTATGAGCTGATGTCTACCTTCAATCGTCGGAATGTGGGGGTTGCTGCGGTCTCTGAACCTTACAGGGGGGCGGGCTGCTTGGCCAAGGGCTCGGACCTGGCGGTCGTTTTCCAACAATCCGGGCACAATAACCCTGTTAGGGCCGCTATGTACATAGATAAGCAATTAGCTCTAGACTGTAAGGCCATTTTACTGTCACAATTTTGTTCCCCTGATTTGGTCACTGTTAGGATGTCCGTTGGGCGCATGCCCGTATTTCTTGTGTCAATATACCTGCCCCCGAGGTGCAATGTAGCTGAATCCCCTACGGTTCAAACGTTGGTGCGCTTTTTGGATAGCATTGATAACTCCCGGTGCATCGTCATGGGGGACTTTAACGCCGCCCACCCACTTTGGGACTACGCGAGGGCGGCTAACTCAACCGGTCATTATATCTACAACTTTACCCAGACCAGGGATCTGCTGTGTTGCAACTCGGGCCAAATTACGTTTAGGACGATCACGCACGGTCGACCGCGGAGCAGTTCTATTGACCTGACTTTCATTGCATCTGACTTAGCACATCAAGTGCGCGATTGGCACACGGAAGAAGACGCGATCGCGGCGTCACAGCATATTGCCATTGCTTTTTTATTAGTAACGTCGTCCTCTTATGTCCCCAATCCGCCGCCACAATCTACTTTTCGCTATAAAGTTTCACCCGCCACCGACTGGAGAGTGTTCAAGGACTCTCTCGCTGCGGCTATGATGGGGATGGATGTGGAGGCCGAGCAGTTGCCAGACTTAACACCATCTGAAGTGGATGCAGCTGTTCTGGGGGTTACGGCGGCCGTCTGCCGGGCTGCTGAGCAGTCAATGCCAACACGGCATGGCAACCTTCCCCCACCGCGAGCCCCGTTTTGGACCGCCGAGCTGTCGGCCATGAAGGGCCAAGTGGCTCGGCTTGGCCGGCGGATTGGCGCTCTGAGGAGGCGGAATCAGATCATGGGCCACTCGGACCCGATACTGGGGGAGTACGCGGACCTCAGGAGGCGCTATGCCCAGTCCATCTCTCGGGCAGCTAGGGATAATTTCAGGGAGTTTTGTCAGTCGCAAACATTGGAAAAGGTATGGACGGTGACGAACCCCGTCGTGCGCGCTGACGGAGCTCCCAGAAAACCACCTGCCACCCTGGCCACGCCGGACGGGCACACTGTTTCCGCGGAAGACTCTGCGGAATTTCTCCTGCGGCACTTTTATCCCGAGGACCCACCGGACCAGGACACCCCATTTCAAGCAGCTCTTAGGGCGGACCGGGACACCCTGCCCAATACCAGAGACGACCTCCCGTTCACCTTGGAGGAGATTATCGAAGCCTTAAGCTCAATTTCACACAGGAAGGCTCCGGGGGTGGACGGACTCACCTCAGACATTTGTCTGGTGGCGGTCAGGACATTCCCGGAGTTCTTCCTTGGCCTTTTTAACCGATGTCTGACCCTGGGGCACTTTCCTAAGAGCTGGAAATTTGCTTTGGTCAGAATAATCCCTAAGCCGGGGGCCTCTGGGGCTGACTCGGTTAAATCACACCGGCCCATTGGCCTAATTAACGTCTTTGGCAAGGTTCTCGAGAAGCTCTTCGTGGGCCGCCTCCTTCACCACTCGGCTATATCGGGTAATCTCTCGCCGCTCCAGTACGGCTTTAGACGTAACACCTCCACTCTACACGCCCTCAATGATGCCATAGAACATATAAACCGGTTCCGTCAGGCTCGTATGCCCTGTGTGGCAGTGTCTCTAGATATACAATCTGCATTTANCGAGCGTTTGTATGAAGCTTCCGTACTGTTTAATAAACAGCTTCTGCGATGGATGGAGTGTACTTCAGGCGACCTCCGGGTTTAAAGTTTACTCCCCTTAGTTAACGTTAGGCCTTTTGGCTGCTGTATCGAGCCTTCACTTTCAATCTCAGCATATCAATCTGAAACGGTAGCCCTTAACATCTGGTTAAATTAGCCTCTAAAACATTATCACTTCATTAATCTCATCTCTTTTATCATTAAGTCACTCTGTTTTAATTTTGCAATGTCATTTTGGTCTTGAACTTACTTACAGCACGTATAATTCTATTTCACTCTATATTCTACGGAGGCGCTCTCTAGCAGCTGGAATGCGGCACGCTGGAGGCGCCACCTGTCGAATAAGGGCGCGAACTGACACACAACACAACACGGGTTACGCCCACCGTCTGGATTAAGTACGGTGGGCGGCATAGCGGGCAGTGCGCCACCTCGGCGGGAGATGGCGCTGTCGCGATATCTCTAAGTCATCGTGATTCGGTTCGGACCTGACTTAGTTACGTAATTTCAAACCCAACATGTCCCACCTCAAATTTGTAGTTAGGAGCCTGGAATTCGCTCCACCGGGGGAGCTGGGAATAGAAACGGCTTCTGCGATGGAGGGAATTTCAGGCGACCTCCAGGTTTTAAGTTTTTCTTTAAGTTTACTCCCCTTAAATAACGTCAGACCTTTTGTCTGCTGTATCGGGCCTTCANTCTACACGCCCTCAATGATGCCATAGAACATATAAACCGGTTCCGTCAGGCTCGTATGCCCTGTGTGGCAGTGTCTCTAGATATACAATCTGCATTTAACCGGGCATGGTGGCCCGCGGTCTTCAGTCGTCTCCGGGACATTGGATGCCCTCAGAACATTTTTAGGCTCGTCAATGATTACCTGCACGACCGCAAGGTCGCTCTTCACTACGCAGGGGCCACAGCGTCCAGAGACATGCGGAGGGGGTGCATACAGGGCTCGGCCTGTGGGCCAGCCCTGTGGAACCTCATTCTGGATGATCTCTTGGGCCTGGCACTTCCCTCGGGCTGCCGCATTCAGGCCTATGCGGATGACGTCCTCCTTGTGGTGGGCGCCGGGGATGAGCTTGCCCTGAGGGACGCCGCGTGCAGTGCGCTAGACCAAATTTACAACTGGGGCCAGAGTTTCAAGCTGGTGTTTGGGCCCAGCAAAACCCAGGCCTTGGCCTTCTCTCCCAGAGCGGCTCGCATCAGACTAACTATGGCGGGGGTCGCCGTCCCATTTGCTGACCAGATTAAGTTGCTCGGTATTATTATTGATAAGACTCTGTCCTTTGCTCCCCACGTTGAACACATCGTGCAGACTGCAGGCAAAATATATAACCGGCTTGCCCTGTTCGCTCGCCCCACCTGGGGTCTCCACCCGGCCAACGTGGACTCCATATACCGGTACGTCATCGTCCCGATTGTGACGTACGCGGCCGGTGTGTGGGGACACGTTGTCCGGCATCGGGTCCATGCCGGGAAGTTGTTGGCGCTCCAAAGGGGATTTGCCCTAAAAGCAACCAGAGCGTACCGAACAGTTTCCACCAATGCTTCACTGGCTTGGGCCCGGTTCACACCACTGGACCTGGAGGTGCTGCGGGTGGCGGAAGTTGAGCGCACCCGGGTCCGGAGGACCACCAGAGTACTGCCGGACGACCTCACTTTAGAATCCCCTGTTGGAATTGAGGAGCTCCTGCATCCTGCACATAGGATCTCGCCACAGATCTGCACTGCAATCTCACCGGATGCCGTTAGTTCAGCATGTCGGGGGGACACGGTGCAGATCTACACAGACGGGAGCAAACAGGAGAACGGAGCGGTGGGTGCCGCGGTGGTATGTGTCGACTTGGACGCGCGCCCCACGGTGCTCACCCGCAGATTCAAGCTGCACGATGTGTGCACTGTGTTTCAGGCGGAGGCGTTTGCCATCCTACAGGCGTGCCGCCTGGCCTCGTTACGGGGATACCGCGATGCCTTGATATGCTCGGACTCCCTATCCGTCCTGACCGCCCTGGAGCGGCGGAGCACGGTCGCGCCCATCCTGACCGCGATTCATCGCATTGTGCATGAGCATTCCCCAGTCGGCGAAATCAGATTTTGTTGGGTCAAGGGCCATGCCGCAATTCCGGGCAATGTCCGGGCGGATATGGAGGCCGGGGCGGCGGCGGTCATGAGAACGGCCCCAAACTATTGCCACTTCCCGATGTCATATGTCAAGGGGATCCTGCGGACGGAGGCCCACCAGGCGTGGCAAACCAGGTACGAGGAGGCGCCCCAGGGGTCCCAAACAAAGAGGCTATTCCCAGCCCTCGCGGACTTACTACGGTTCCGAGCGCTGGCTCCGATGTCATTCCAGCTGACACAGTTTGTTTCGGGGCATGGGGCGCACCTCAGCTACCTGCACCGCTTTAAAATTTCGACAACTTATGCCTGCCCCTGCGACGGCTCCTCCGCTCAGGACCCTTGGCACCTATTGGTTCACTGCCCACGCTTCGCGGCAAAACGCCTGGAGCACGACATCCTGTGTGGGCTAAGAGGGGTAGAACCGTTCGACTTTGTGGCGTTGGGGGGAAAAGACGAGCTGGTGCAGTCGGTTGTGCGCTTGATAGTATATATCTACGACCAGATAAAGTCATTCAACAGTGGGGCGCAGTTAGATCAGCCATAAATACATGTAAACTAAGAAAGTCTCCACACCTTATGTGTGCCTACCCCTGCGACAACTCCTCCCCTCAAGACCCTTGACACCTTATAATGCACTATCCTTGCCTCGCGCCTGTGTGGGTTGAGAGGGGTGGAGCTGTTCGACTTTGCGACTCTGAGGGGGGAGGGGACTGGCTTGTGCGGTCGGTTGTGCACTAGACTGCATATGTATGTACGACCAGGTCAAATCATCTAACAACGGGACGCAGACTAGTGAGATATAAATACAGGTATATGGATACAAGTGAAACATATTAACGGTCCTCCCTCCCTTTCTTTTCTTTTAGTTGATGTACTATAATATAATAATAGCTTAATCATGTCATGTTATGGGGCGATGACCTGTGCTGGGTTGGGGGCCGTGGGTCGGGGGCGGGGGTGGGGGCGGCTGGCGGCTGGCTATGGCACCCGCTGCCCCCGCGCCCGGTCCGCGGCTTGACCAACACAGAGCCAGAGCCATATTATCATGATAATATAATAAAAACCTGACCGCAATTGTAAATATTATCTGCGTCTTAGGCTTAACCTTTTAATATTTAATATTCACCTTCCTTCTCCTCCTTTGGTCAATTTTTCAAAAATTTGTGCTGAATAAACTCTCCTTCTTCGGCTCAACACTCTCGTGACGCCTGGATGGTGTCTTCACGCACTAAATCCGGCTCTTCGACGATTTTTGGCGTTTTTATTTTAATTTGAGACGGTTTTTGGGCATCACCTTCGGAACTTTCTAGGATCACCCCCGGTTTTTATCGGCCCTTCGTGTTCGTCTCGGCGAGCCCTACCCATAGACACCTCATTTGTTACGATCGGAGGTCTGGAAGTTGGGGAAACTACCAATAACCATTGTAAATTTGCTCATACCGAGGTTACTTGGTGGAGCTCGACAGAATCAAAATTTAACTCCCAATTTCTAAAATAGTACTGCACCCCTGGGTATCGTACATCATTTTAAGCGTCTAATTATTGCCGACACCCCTGTGCAACTTCCAGACCTCTGCGACCTCATCTCGCGAACTTATTGATACCTTTTGTTTCCCAATTAATTTAGTAAATTACCATAGTTAAAGAATTCATTACTCGACCATTTTTGGTCGGATCCTCAGATTTTTTTCGCCTAGATTGATTCAACCCCGTCGACTCTGCGCTCCCGTGACGTTTGGAGACTCCATTTGTGCTACTTTCGGTTTTTTTCGTAACTAAAACTGCGAATTTCTCTTGGTTTTGTCACCTTGCCGATCTCAATTTCACCTAACATGTCTGATAAGCCGCGCTGCGTCAGCCCTCGGTGTGTAGCCGTTAGGGACGCACACGCAAGACTCCTCCAGGACCTGGAGAGGTACCGTGGATATGAATCACAGCTGCTAGGGCTGCACAACCAAAACAGATTGCTCTTGGACACCATCCTGGGGCCGGCTGTTGAGGAGGGCCGCCGACTTGTCGGCCGGTCCATTGGCGCGGCCGCGGACCCCGCGGTCGCGCCACAGGCACCGGCCCCGGCCTCGGGCGGCAGTGGCCTGGGGGGCCCGAGGGGCCCAGCTTGTCTGGAAGTGGAATCCATCTTGACTGAAATGACCAGAATTAGCCCGCCAATATCTCCGATTGGGTCCCCGGGTCGCTCGGGCTCGCGGTTGCCGGGGTCGGGACTTCCATCTCCCAGGGCCTCCTCATCATCATCACCATCCCCACCAGCGTCCCCTGGCCGGCTCCGGGGTTCGCCAACTACGGCCCGCTCCCGCTCTCTCTCCCCTGCCCTTCAGAGGCGGGGAGATATTCACACAATGATCACTCCTCCCCCCCATGCCTCCTTTACATCTGAGGCTTCTCGGGCTCCGCAGCCGGGCTGGGGGTGGCATCCAACCACCCGGGGGCCGGCTGCGATGAGGCTGAGGTTCAGGCAATGCATCCTATGCGGAATGATCCTGAAATCCCACATTTCCAGGCACTTTGCCAGAAAACATCAAGGATACGAACCCCCGCTGAACCGCTACTCTCGCTCCTACCCTCGGGGCCTTTTCTTCTACTCAAGCCAAATAATGACAACCTGCCCGCTGGGGGCCAGAGTAGACCCGGCATTACTGGTAGGGGTGGAGGGAGTGGTAGAAAGATTCGCCCTCTCTCAGCAGTAGTGCTTAATCTATTAACTCGCAGTTCACTTTAGCATAGCATAGGATAGGATCGAGTCGATGGGGCGGGATCTGTCCCAATCGCCTGAACCTAATTTAATCCAACTTCTCTTACTATTATTGCAAACCGCTCGCGGGCGGTGTCTTGATTGATCGAATGATTGGCTCTGATAGCCCTCTATTTGTCTGCTATCTGTATTCGTAGCTCCGGGGTGATCCCCTTATAACCCCAATTGTTGATTGACTCTCTCTGTTGATTATTGATCAAGGAAGTAGAATTAGTATAGTATAGTGTGTGTATAATGCAAAATGTAAACCAATGATGAATGTACTGGGTTGGGGGCCGGGGGCCGGGGGCGGGGACGGTCGGCCTTGTCCCTTGGGCCTAGCTTGTTGGCCCCGCGCCCGGCGCCCGGCGTCTCGACTGGTATGACGATTAATAGGTGCAACTGCGCCTTAGTTGATTACTTACTAAAATGCGAGTTGATTGCATACAATCACAATTTAGTGTATAAATTTCCATATACAATCTTATGTCCTATTCAAGTATCTCGCCTGATTTGTATATAAGTTTGTCCCCTTATCCTTTTCTCTGTGTGTATTAATTTGGATTGCTCATGACTTGTACGTTCTGGGTACCTGCGATGGGTTCCGCTCTGACAGGCTGTTCTACGCTGGGTTGGGGGCCGTGGGTTGGGCGCGGGGACGGTCGGCTCTAGCCTTTGGGCTCGGCTTGCTGTCCCCGCGCCCGGCCTTCGGTTTCTTGACCGGTGTGGGTGTCTAGTCCTGGCGGAGCGGTGCCGATTACAGGATTAAATTCATTATGTGTTGCCTCTTTCTTTACAAACATTGTCTTAGTATTTAATCGTCATGGAAAAAAAAAAAAAAAAAAAAAAAAAAAAATTAAAATCTATCCGCAACTTCGCAACTATAAATATTATTTGTGTCTTATCTACATTTCGATTGTAAGCATACTTTAACTTACGATAAAAATTTTATCAGTGCTGGGCTGGGGGCCGTGGGTCGGGTGCGGGGGTGGTGGGCTATGGGGCTATGGCCTGGTCTGGCCCGCTGCCGCCGCGCCCGGGCCCCGGTCCTTGGCTCAACAAGCACCCTATATAACACTCTACTATATTTCTGTTCTCTTTTTTAATAACCTGTCCGCAAATGTAAATATCGCTTGTGTCATATGTACATTTTTGACTGTAAGTATACTGCAAATTTAGGATAAAAACTTGACCTGTACTGGGTTGGGGGCCGTGGGTCGGATGCGGGGGTGGTGGGCTGTGGGCTATGGCGCTTGGGCCTGGCCCGCTGCCGTCGCGTCCGGCCATCGGCTCAACAAGCACTTTATGTAACACCCCACTATATTCTGTATTAACCTGCCCGCAAATGTAAATATTGATTGTTTGTGTCCCATCTACATTTTGATTGTAAATATATTTTAAATTTAGGATATAAACGTGATCTGTGCTGGGCTGGGGACCGGGGGTCGGGTGCGGGGGCGGTTGGCTATGGCACTCGGGCCTGGCCTGCTGCCCTCGCGCCCGGCCCTCGGCTTAAGCAACATTAACTACAATTATTCTATGTATACTCTGATTGTAAGTATAGTTTAAGTTAGGATAAGAACTTGTTTTGTAAAAATCCGTACTGGGCGGCCTAATATCCACAACTGTAAAGGCTAGTGCTGGGGGAATCTTCTGAACTTCTTCCCCCAACACTCCCAGTCTTTCTTCTCTGTCCCCCGACCCACCTTGAGCAGGCATCTATCACCGCCTCGGTGGGTCTTGTATCCGGCGGGTAACTCCACCCATTCTCGGCGTGGCACGCCCGCCGGTAACAAGGGTCGAAACACTGGAATAAATATGTACTAGCTATAGTTAATTAGTTAGTCAATAAGTTCTCATGAATGTCCCCTACCCATTAATAAAATTTAACGTTGTGGCTAAACTGGAAAAAAAAAAAAAAAAAAAAAAAAAAAAAAAAAAAAATGGCTACTGGGTAACATCTCGCATTACCTCGGAGCAAAAAAAATGGCTACTGGTTAACATCGCGCGTTAACTTGGAGCTAAAAATGGGTCAAAGTTACGCGTCGTGTCACAACGCTTATAATAAAAATGTACGAGCACTTGCACAAAATAGTTGTTACAACCAACCTTTTGTTGGGTCTAATTCTCGTCACTACACTGCACAACTTAAAATAATTACGTTTTTTGTCGGTAAAAACGTCCTGGTGACGTCACTTAAGCATTTTTCTTATACTGCGTGCGGTCGTTGCGCGTGCGCACAAAGGAATGAGACCGCTCGGACACCGAGCCCACAGCGTGGTAGGGGTGGGGTTGCCCGCTCTTTTGTTTTTTAATACTACTACGCTGAATATTGTGTGCGGATTGGGTTGTCGTACAGGGGTACTACTACATGGTAAAATAAATCTCGGAGGCGAAAGCAGGATAATAACAATCACTTATTTAAGATGCTTCTTCTTCTGTTGCACTTACAGTAGGTATTTCACTCAATGTTTTTGAAACTTTCATACTTATTAAGCCTATATGGTGGAGACAGCTATATACAGATATAATTTTTTTAGGGTGATCCGGAAGGAGACCAGCCCGAGCGTGCTGTATGGGGGAATCAGATAGAGTTCCTCATGTCATGCATCGCCACATCGGTCGGACTTGGCAACGTGTGGCGGTTCCCCTTTGTGGCCTATCAGAATGGCGGCGGAGCTTTCCTCGTGCCTTACATCATTGTACTGTTCCTGATTGGCAAGCCTATGTACTACCTCGAATGTGTGATTGGCCAGTTCAGTACCAGAAATTCAGTCAAAGTGTGGGCACTCGCGCCAGCTATGAAAGGTACCTAATTGAAAATATCCACGCTTAGTTTAACGTTAGCTTAAAAGCTCGTAAAGCTTTTTCAAAATCAGGACAAACTCTACAAAAAACTTGTCAATTTAATTTAATTATGCTGATTTCCGTCTGGAATTCGAATTTTCTTTTTATCACAAACTTTTCAGGCAAGGCTTTCGGGAAAATCTTGCCAAGCATATTTAAACCTGTTCCCACTGTTAGACGAAGTTGAATAAATTGCACACGAGCATTATTTGTGTGGGCAATGATAGATAACTAAAACATGTTTATGTACGTAAATTAATGTGTTCAAAAAATCTTTCAGGGACTGGCTACGCTCAAGCTCTAACATGCGGCTACATCCTCTCGTACTACGTGTCCATCATCGCACTGTGCCTGTATTACTTCGCGATGAGCTTCCAGCCGACCCTCCCGTGGGCTCTGTGCGAGCCCGAATGGGAGAACTGCGTGCCCTCTGCCCCAGGCCACAACATCACCATCACGAACGAATCTACGAGCAGTGCTGAGTTGTTCTTCTTGTAAGTTTATTTTGTTTTAAAAAACTAAAGCACTTGACAAAGTGGGTAGGCACAGTTGATTTTCTATGAATAGTGTTAAACTTTTATCAAGATATCAAGATTATGTTCATAATATAAGATACTATTTAGTAGACACTGATCAATGATCACGCAAGTAGATATCACTTGGATATTCCGAGTACAATTAAAGTACAATTAATTGAAATATGTTTTGGAATTTACCTCAATTTTTAATCAAATGCAAATTACGAATTAGGTAATTGTCTTTTTTGATCATAACTATTTTGTCAGAAATTGCTTACCATAAACTTTGAATTTTCTAATATTTTGGTATTTTTACATTACATTATATTATCTACATAAGTAAGTAAAGTATCTATGAACAATCAGCAGCCCAGTGTAAGGTTTATCTACTTGTTTAAACAATTAAATACCAAGGAGTGTAATGATGAGTAACACAATATCTTTCAGAATTAAAAAATAGAGTTTCATGTACCTACAGATTAGAAATCATCACTTCACAATGTAAACAAATAACTGTAATGCAATAAACAAATAATCAGTAAACTATGCTATCTACGCCAAGATCTGATATAATTTAATACGTTTGGTTAATACGGACAGCTAGTTAGTGTTTTATTTTTTCTTTACCGATATAATATTCAGAAGTACCTACTCGTAGTAAAGAGTTTCATTCATTTATGTAGTCCAAAATGCCATTTTCAGTCACACTTTTCTTAATAACCTACACAATAATTCTTTCACAGAAAGACTGTACTAAGACAAAGAGAAGGCATAGAAGGAGGCCTTGGTAAGTTTGTCGATTAAAATCATTATTCGAATATTGCTTAATAATAAGAGCCTACGCTCAAAAGTACTCATAGAAGAGACTGGCTGGTTTTTGATGACAATTTTAATTTATTTTAACGGTAAAGTTTAAATATGTATAGTTAATAAATAAATGTTTCGCAGGTTTGCCTCTCTGGGACCTAACTCTGTGCCTGCTAGCGTCCTGGGTGATTATTTTCGTGATTGTGGCCCGAGGAGTGAAAAGTTCAGGAAAAGCTGCCTATTTCCTAGCTCTCTTCCCATACGTTGTGATGATCATTTTACTCATTAGGTACGTGCATGAATTACTTTATTGAATTAATCGTTTATTATCTGTATTTATCATATTAATTCCATTGTTTTATTTAACAGTACATCGATCCTGAACGGTGCTGGTAACGGTATCCTATTCTTCCTCACTCCTCAGTGGGAAAAAATTCTCGAACTCGATGTAAGTACCTACCTGTATTATGTTTTTAATTTGACTACAACCATGTTGGTAGTGTTGGTACCTATCATGTTTATAAGAGAAAAATATGTATTTTTAACCAAATTATTTTAATTTCAGGTATGGTACGCTGCAGTCACTCAGCTATTCTTCTCCTTATCAGTGTGTACCGGAGCCCTTGTGATGTTCTCATCGTACAACGGGTTCAGGCAAAACGTATACAGGTAAGCGATAAAACGTTATCACGGAACTGGATGCCGGCATTAACAAATAATTTTTATAGATTAATGGATGGTAGGTATAACAAAATGATAAAAAATACCACGAAAGTGGCAGTGTTTTGGTGGGAAAAACCGGACGTTTCCGTTTAATGTTTTGAAACTGCATCTATTAGATAGTAATGTGTTGAGGGAAATATACGTTCCACCTTCAATTTTTATTTTCTTCTCACTTTCCATATTGGTATCAACAATTTAACAGCTGACAAATATTTTCATTGCATGTGAGACAACCAACATCCATCATCAATGTTTCGAGAAGTGTTCTTAATGCTGTTGTTATCAATATTCTCCTAGTACAGATGTACTCGTTTAAACTCGTTGTAGGTTTCTTTGATTACGATTAGCAAAAAAACATTAGCAGAGAAAGTAGTCTAAGTACATCTTAATTGCTGAGCAGAGAAGTCACAACTTAACTTTTCCGTTTTTCAGAGACGCCATGATCGTGACCACGTTAGACACCTTCACGAGTCTGTTGTCAGGCATCACCATTTTCGGCATCCTTGGCAACCTGGCGTACGAGCTCAACCAAGATGTGGCTGACGTCGTCGGCTCCGCTGGAACAGGACTGGCTTTCGTCTCATACCCAGATGCAATTGCCAAGACTTTCCTGCCTCAGGTAAACTATGTAGTTAAATAAAAGATAAGACAGTTGTTTAGATAAACAAAAATTGCAATGTTAAAGCCTTCCTATTTGATGATCCAGTGGTGAGAGAAAACTCTCTATTTGGAAAAAAATCCGTGTCTCGGGGAGGGCCGTTGTTAATCCGTATAGCTTCGGGTTACAATAGTAGAAAAAGATGCGCTTTAAATCGGATATAAGCGATTACGATTAACTGCTTAAAGTTTACAGTTTATCTTTAGTTTTTCAGTGAGTACAGTTAATAACTTTCAGATTTAAAAATTAAATTATTTTTAACTAGATAGGTCGGTCGTAACAGTTTCTATGTTTTCTATTACAGCTTTACTCCGTCCTCTTCTTCCTGATGATGTCGGTACTTGGAGTAGGCTCTGGGGTCGCGCTGCTGTCCACCATCAATACGGTGCTGATGGACTCCTTCCCAAGAATTCGTACTGTTTACATGTCAGCCATCTGCTGCACAGCTGGCTTCGCAATCGGCTTGATTTATGTCACACCGGTGAGTACGGACTATTCCCACCTTGTTTCCACTCCTAGTCCTGTTTAGTCAGGATATACAACTTGACCACCGAAGTTTGTCTCGGGAGAAAGTTAAACTGACATTGGCCCAGCAACGAAATTAATCATAGGAACATATGATGAGTTGAAGTAACTTTAAGTGGATGAATTGAATAATAGATGCTAGACCTCTGATGCGGTTTTAATGAAGTAGTCGAGGAAGAGGAGACTGTGTATCACCTTGTTAAATAATTAATTATGCAAAATATTAATAGTTTCTTAGTTAATTATAAGTTTAGAATGTTTGTTCAAGTAACTGGTTAGATTAATTTTGAATGGCTCAATGATGAAGGCCACTGTTTTATATGAATATAGATATTCATAAATTTATTACGGATTACTTACACGGATAGTCTGTTTACAAGCAATACCCGTTTTGCCTTAAAAAAATATCATAAAGCAAACAAAACTCATGTTTCAGGGAGGACAATTCATCTTGGAACTTGTGGACTACTACGGTGGAACGTTCTTGGCGCTGTTCAGTGCTATTGTTGAGATTATTGGAATCTTCTGGATTTACGGTAAATGTTTTGATATTACACTAAACTAGCTATTGGCTATTGCCATCAATATTGCGTGTTTACACAGTGATATCCAAATCGGTTTCCATTTGGTTAAACTACTGTATGGGTCTCGTAAGGCCTTTCTTTGATTTGAATTTTGATTTGACTTGATCGTTGTCTTTTCTATGTTTTTAGGTTTGGAAAACATCACCCTGGACATCGAATTCATGTTGGGCATCAAGACGTCGTTCTACTGGCGATGCTGCTGGGGCTTCATCACGCCCGCGCTCATGATCGTCGTCTTCGTGTACGCGCTGATCTCCTACGAGGCTCTGGAGTTCGGAGGATACTACATCTACCCTGATGCCGGATATGGTATGTAGACTTAAATCTTTTAAGATCCTTTACTTGCTTCATCATCAGGTTATTCAGTCTTCGCTGCAGGCGCACGACCTACTCAAAGTTATCAAAGGTTAATGGAGGATTTGGTTAGAGCCAAATGGAGGATTTGATTAATCATACTAATATGTATTTTATATTTAAGAGACAAACTTAGTCTCTTTGTGAGTTTAAAGGAAGTCATTTCTGGAACGAAACGAACTTTTTTGAAAACGATTTCATTGACTAGAGCCGTGGGTTTTATCAATTACGTTTTTTTTAGCTCAAATACTATTTTGGAAAAGCCGGATATGACCGGAAAGTTTTAACTTCTTTATCACTTTTTGTACCAGAGTAGGTATTTAATAAGTTACGGTCTGATTGGCGTCGTTAAAACGTTGTCTTTTTCTTGAGGAATGTTTTCATGCGCTCCTAGCGTGAGCTTTATAAGGTCAATATTGTGATTACAAACGGATCGTCACTGTGTTAACATTGTGTTGCTGATAATAAACTTATCTTATCTGACAATAATATCACCGAATATTATCATCAAAACGTGACTTTGTAGATAAGATGAAAGCTTCCAACAAAATAATACAATATTTATCATCTGGTAAAGCTACCGTCAGGCAACCTTATTATAGACTTAGTACCTACTACGTATGTCCTACCTAAACAATAGTTAGCTAGTTTTTATAATAGACTAGCGGCCGCCCGCGACTTCGTACGTGTGAATCCCGTTTTTCCCGCTAATTCCTGTTCCCGTGGGAATTTCGGGAATTCCTTTCTTAGTGCACCTCTACGGTACCTAAGCTACGTCCCTTCCAAATTTCAAGTGCCTACGTTTAGCCGTTTAGGCTGTGCGTTGATCTGTCAGTCAGTCAGTCAGTTTCTCCTTTTATATATTTAGATTCGTGTTTAACCATTTTTTATGCTTTATTTCAGTGGCCGGATACCTGATGCTCCTCGCGGGTATTGCCTTCGTGCCGATTTTCATGTTTATCACCATGTACAAAAACAGGACTGGAAATTGCACGGAGGTAACAAATGAAAATACACACAAATTATTAACTACACACCTAATAACCGCAGGTTATGCAGACGATTTCGTTAAATATGCACAAACTAGGTTTTCGTTTTAGTTTTTAGGTTTTCAGGTGCGATTGCGGTCAAATACCTGCCTTGTCTAGCATAAAAAAAAACGATTATGTTTTGCGTATAAATACCTACCTAACTATCTTGTATGTTTTTGATGCAGACCGCAAAGAAATCATTCCGACCAAAGAAGACCTGGGGTCCTCGGGATCCAGTGCTTCGGGAAGAGTGGAACATGTTCAAGCTGAACGCCCGAGCTGACCGGCAGATACAGGGCGCCTCCTTCTTCAGGCACATCTGGAACATCATGACGGGCGGCTACAGGCGCTGACACTAGTGTTATTCCAAAGAGTTTGTACATAGATAAATCGATAATTAAACACACGTCAATACTTTTTTATCGTGGAAAGCCTACAGGTCGATTGACTTCATTATCATTTGGTAGCAATATAAATTCAAATAGATAGGTACTAGCAGCGGACGGCCAAGTTATATTGCAGAAAACTGTTTCTTTACAAAATTAAACCTGTTCCAGTTTGCTATTTTGCTTTCAATATTGTGCCTAAATACTATCTATATGCTCTAACTACATTGTTGGTCAGTATATTTTGATTATTAAATAAGGTAAACAAACGTTTACATCATAGGTAATTTACGAAAAGTTGGCTCTACCTATTTATCGCACAGCTGTAGGTAAATTATTTTTTAACCCAAGCAAACTCTTACACAAGTGAGTTTAGCTTTAAAAAGATATTAAAATGACATTTTGTACTATCAAAAGTTCAAGACATCAGTTGCTGACCTCCTGACGTAGATAATATTAACAATGTGCCTAACATACTTAGAAAAATAAAATAATTACGAGTAGAGTAGGTATATTTTATGGCTGTGTGAAATGTCCTAGTTTTAGATAGATTATTTGTATTTAATAAGTCTATGTTGATCTTAATATAAATTATGTAAGCGATCAATTTATTTATGGCATTTTATAATTTTGTTAAAATGTTAAAATATCCAATTAAATATGATTTTTAAAATGTTATTTTGATTTTGTATCTCCTTATGGACACGTTAAGGTTTAAACCATCTTAGCATAATGTATTGCAAGATAATCTTTCATCTTACAGATCTAAAACCATGAAATGACTAAATTAGCATAGATGCTTCAAAGGAAACTTCCACTGTAGTCCAGTCAATGAATGCCTTAACGACGGTGTAGAGAGAAATCCGTGGAACACAATTTCTAACCTCGGGACTTTATTTAGCCTAGTTAGGTGGTGAACATAGCAAAAGTCCCCGCCCTTAGCCCTTGAGCCGGCGGGGAGAGGGGGGTTTAAAGGTACCACTTTTCGGTTTTTCGCTTAATCCTCGGAAACTATGCGTCCTAGTGACATGACTAATAAGAACCAAAAAAAAGCTTATTCAATTTGCTACAGGTGAGACCGTCAAGTTTTTCTATATATTGTATAGTTTTTGCGGCATCTGCTCTAGAAGGTCTGTAAAATTGGAAATTTTATTGTTGTCTTACATGTTCCTTTCAGGAGAAAATCGACTAAATCAACATTGAGCAAACACTATAGACATGCGGGAGCATGTTAAGCCTAGTTCCATGGAGGGGACTGCACCGTGCGTATATTTAGACGAACCAATTAGAGCCACTTTTGACTCCTCATCATTCAAAAACTACTGTGCATTAACACTTCAAATTTGGCTCATGTATTGAGACTTGCAAGATATACATCAGCTTCAAATTTCATAAATATACCTCAAACGGTTATTTAGGTATTGACGTTCAAAAATCGATATTTAGAGCACTAAAATCTATCTATCACATGTGAAATGTTAAAATTTACTGGTTTTTTATTTGTTCCTTTGTATTTACATAACTACCTTTCTGGATGCCAAATTTGAACCTTCGAGGTCATCTGGAAGTGGTTAGAATTTGGTCTATAGGTCAGACATGTAGATTTTTGGACGTCAATATCTAAAGAACCGTTTGAGGCATATTTATGAAATTTGAAACTGATGTATATCTTGCAAGTCTCAACACATGAGCCAAATTTGAAGTGTTAATGCACAGTAGTTTTTGAGTGATGAGGAGTCAAAAGTGGCTCAAAGTGATTCGTCTAAATATACGCACGGTGTAGTCCCCTCGCTGGAACTAGGCTTAACATGCTCCCGCATGTCTAGAATGATTGCTCAATGTTGATTTAGTCGATTTTCTCCTGATGGGAACATGTAAGACAAAAATAAAATTTCCAATATTACAGACCTTCTAGAGCAGATGCCGCGAAAACTATACAATTTATAGAAAAACTTGTCTATCTCATCTGTAGCAAATTGAATATGCTTTTTTTGGTTCAAAGTAGTAATGACAATAGGACGCATAGCTTCCGAGGATTAAGCGAAAAACCGAAAAGTGGCACCTTTAAACCCCCCTCTCCCCGCCGGCTCAAGGGCTTAGGGCGGGGACTTTTGCTATGTTCACCTCCTAACTAGTCTAAATAAAGTCCTGAAGTCAGAAATTGTGTTCTACAGTTTTCCATCTATAATGCTTTATTGACTGGACTACTGGGAAAGACCGCATCATTCTTATAATAATTATTACTTCCGCTGCGTATTGTTTAGCAACAATCTAGTGAGTATCTATGGAGTCAGGCATTAACTTAAACACATAATAGCTGTGTCCTACTTAAGTCACGGTGATGCGATAGAACAAGCACAGACGCTAACTGCTAAGGTATGTGAATGAAAATCCGCAACATAAGTAATCCAATGCGCATTTTAATTGTTATTGTTGTTATCTCACCGTTTATTCTTGCTGAATGAATTACCGTAGCACTATGTAGCACATTAGATACTCTACTATTCCGTCATTGTTTCACTTCATGTAAAACAAAGTGTTACAAGGTTTTGTTTTTCATACATTTTTTTAAAATTAAACATATTTAGTAATTTAATTTTTGTTTTATTGATGTTAACATAATATGCTTTTGGTTAAGTGACATAGGTCTTGCAATCAAAACACCTGTCTGCATCTAGTAACAAGGTTGGACGAACATTAATTGATAGCTATTGTATCTATCAGTGATTAATATTAATTTCAAGAAGTATTGTTCCATGATATGGATCTAATACGCGATATAATGATAAATACGTGTGAGAAGGCTCCTTTCGTGGAGTCACCGGCGCGAGTGCCGCCTGATAGTATATTCAATATAAAACCTGCGCGCTGTGCGCTCGGCTTCTCAATACCTCGGCAGCGGGGCGGTCTCCACAGAAAACAAACAATTCAAAAACATATGAGAGTGCATTGAAGACTACCGGTAACCATGGTATGTACGAACAATAAACACTTTTAGTAATGCCTATTAAAGTGTACCAATAAATACAATCAAATACAGTTATATGACATAATACCTAATCTAAAGTTCCAGTTATTTGAATGTAGAACATTCCTCTGAATCAAAGTTGTTTGTATAGCAACACATTTGGAACATGTGGAACATTTTTATAGGTGTTAATTGTATTGAAGTTGCGATATAGTTTATTATTATTAAATATATACTTTTGAGATCAGGTAAAACTTATTGGTTGGCGTATCTTCTTAGAATAAAACAAAACACGGATAACTAAGTAAATAGAGTGTGTAATTTTTAAGCGATGGCCTGCAGTGAAATCTACAGCTTAAGCCGAAAGATTTAGTCACCGAGAGTAGACAGCTTATTTTTTTCTACGAAACTTTACAAGTTACTATTATCCGTTGTAAATAGTTTTCGATCCGTTGTAAATAGTGATCAGAATAAATGAGAGGACTAGCCTCTCATTTATTCTGATCACGTTTATCAAACGCACGAACTGTCAAACGGGAAAGTTAAAATAATTGATAAGAGTTCTGAAATTACCCAATTTTCTTAATTTTTCTTTTCGTAACATTGTTTTACAAGATATTAAAAAACTTTAAAAAAATTATGGACTTGTACGATTTGTCTTAAGCCCAACCTCCGGTGTCAGTGCGACGTGCTAATTTTGAGACGCTCTGTATCACCAAGTCTAGATTATAAGCTGTATACCTATGAAAATTCTGAAACCATAGCAAACTGTAAAAAATCATTACAGGACTATTTTGATGGTATACAATTGTTAAATAATTATAAACATTCATCATGATTTACTCATACTATGACCGTGCTTCATAATATGAACTGGCAATTTCACAACTAAAAGTTCAGTAAGTATGTGATACGAACAGTAGTTTTGCAGTTTTGCAGTTTTGCACCAATCAAAAATTATAACGCCATGTACCATGATACATTTCATATTACGAGTAGGTATATGACATCGCACCTAATTTTGTTCAGAAGGATTAACAACTAACGAAACATTACAATCAGGCAATACATCTTATCTGTTTTTGTCATACTAAACAAACAGATTATGGGAATTTTCCTGGTAATAATAGTTTAGTAAATTACGCTATAGTAGACCTACCGAAACCTCCACATCTATCTATTATATTATATTATCTATACCTACTAATCAAAGGACAAACCCATGAGTAGCTAGCCTAATTAGTTTGAGCGGCGATCTTTCAATCAAGATAAATAACTTATAATCATAACTCGAAATTCAGACAGCTTCTTTATGCAAACTTGTTCACTGACGATTTCGATAAGGATGGTTGTTGATAAAATTACTTAACTATTCCAGTTAACTAAATATTAATAGTTAAAGTAACTAACATAGTACATACATTATATCATACTTAGTAGTTTTCCTTCAAAGGAAAACATTGGAAATGGTGGTATTCACGAAGGATAAAAAAAACTTTCCGAGAACTTGAGGTCAGAGTTTCTTAGAACATATAAGACCAGAAAATCCTGCTTATTACGTTAAGAATGAGTCGTACTTAAACTATTTTCAAATAAAAATGGGTCATCACAATCACAATTAAATGTTTTTATCTTAAGTGGTACTCTCTATTAAATAATTCATTATTTGGTTCGACTGGAGTGCTTTACACAATCAAAGTTCAAGTGTTTGCTTCAACAATATGGCCTAGTTATTACAAACTAAATTGCATACCTACTTAGAATATCATTTTCAAGGCCTAACTATTATAGAACCGCCAATCACGTACCTACTTGAACCTGTGCTTGAATTTTGAGTATTGTTTCATAATACAGCTTGTAAATGATAGGCGAGCGAATGTGCAAAATTAAATTTAGAGTATCAACCGGCTTTACCTAGTTATAAATTAATTACAGTCATACAGGGTGATACTGAAAGATTTTTTTGCTCTACTATCGGCCGCTCTCGATCATGTTATCTAAAAGAGAGTAAGAAAAGCTTTAGTACCTAAGCTGCTTGACAAATACGAACTATCTATGATACAGCTTTTAAAATAAAGTTATCCTTTGTAATTTACGAGAGACTAAAAATTACAACTTTAGAACATCTTCTTCATCAACTTATTGAGAGAAACATAAATAGGTTTTTGAAAAGATTTTGTCAATAATTCCGGAATGATGAAAGATACCAATACTAGCACTATTGGTGCCCTTTGTATAGTTAACTTAATTTGTTTTAATCAGTCTTTGACAACCTGTATGTTTACAATCAAAATGATACGCAATTCAATTAAAAGGTAATTTTGATATTAATCTTAAGATAGTGAATAGTAATCAATAACAGATTAGATTAACTTAATAAGGTTTAAGGATACTTATCTGTCATCTATGTATTTTATATACCGAATGTACCGTCGACAGCATATCAGACAATTTGATTGTTAATGCAAAATAGCGCCTAATACAACTGCATAAAATACAATTTTGTTTAGCTTGATGTGCTGTTTATAATGACACACTTTATGTATGTACTCGTTTAAATGCATATACAGGGTGTTAGGTAAATGGGTATATGAGCCGACACAGCCCATGTTAACATGGGCATATAAATGGTATGGTGAAGTTAGAAATTTGATATCATCATTTAATTTTTTTTAATTTTCATACAAAACAAATTTTATAAAATCCGATTTGTATGAAAATTAAAATAATCAAAATGAAGATATCAATTTTCTGATTTCACCATACCATTTATATGTCCATGTTAACATGGGCTAGTGTCGGCTCATATACCCATTGTCCAGTCAATAAAGCATTATAGATGGAAATCCGTGGAACACAATTTATACACCTAAATAACCGTTTGAGGTATATTTATGAAATTTGAAGCTGATGTTTATCTTGCAAGTCTCAACACATGAGCCTAATTTGAAGTGTTAATGCACAGTGCTTTTTGAGTGATGAGGAGTCAAAAGTGGCTCCAATTAGTTCGTCTAAATATACGCACGATGCAGTCCCCTCCCTGGAACTAGGCTTAACATGCTCCCGCATGTCTATAATGTTTGCTTAATGTTGATTTAGTCGATTTTCTCCTGATGGGAACATGTAAGACAAAATTAAAATTTCCAATATTACAGACCTTCTAGAGCAGATGCCGCGAAAACTATACGAGTTAAAGAAAAACTTGATTGTCTCACCTGTAGCAAATTGAATAAGCTTTTTTTTGGTTCATAGTAGCCATGTCACTAGGACGCATAGTTTCCGAGGATTAAGCGCAAAACCTAAAAGTGGTACCTTTAAACCCCCCTCTCCCCGCCGGCTCAAGGGCTAAGGGTGGGGACTTTTACTGTGTTCTCCTCCTAACTAGTCTAAATAAAGTCCCGAGGTCAGAAATTGTGTTCCAAGGATTTCTTTCTACACCGTCGTTAAAGCATTCATTGACTGGACTAATAGCAAGGTGGTATTATTGCTTCAATAAACATAGGTAGCATAATAAGCTAAATAACTAAATATATTATACTAATTTTTGTGACTTATAGAGTGGTGAGAACAACAATGGATTCACAATGGAAGATCCTCCGCCAACAACGTCGGCTGACTCAACGTGGATCCCTGACTCTACACCGCCCTTAACTACGGCACCCTCAGGTCCGGCACCTGAGTACTCGAAAATGAAATGGTCAACGAATGGTCATGATCAACCAATGTCACCTCCACCTATCATAAAAGTACCGTTAGAACAATCTGAGACAGCAAAACAAGTAAGTTTGGGATGTTCTCTTTGGAATTTCAAACCTAATTAGTTTGCTAAATGTTAATAATATGTTGTTTATGAAAACAATATTAAATAATTATATGAAAACTGTGGCAATATGTAGCTCTACCAGATTGAAGCACCAGATACAACAGTGCATGTGTATGATACAATTAAAAATATCAACGTATAAATTCGAAGTATTAATCGGAGACGAATCGTTAACATAACTCAACTTATGACATTTGTTTGAAACAGGATGCTGATGCAGAAAAAGCAGAACCACAGCGAGCGATGTGGGATAACCAGATCGAATTTCTTATGTCGTGTATCGCCACTTCAGTGGGCCTTGGCAACGTCTGGCGATTCCCATTCGTCGCTTACAAAAATGGCGGAGGGGCTTTTCTCATTCCTTATATTATAGTCCTGTTTCTAGTCGGAAAACCTATGTACTACTTAGAATGTATTGTGGGACAATTCAGTTCAAGAAATTCTGTAAAAGTTTGGTCACTGTCACCTGCAATGAGAGGTACGTACAAAAATTGCTCAGGGTTCTTTGAGTAGAACGCTGATTGCAGGCTTTATGTTAAAAAAACTTGTTTGGATAATTATTTATGAAAATACAATTTCTTTGCAGGTATAGGCTACGCGCAAGCACTCAGTTGCAGCTACATCGTGACCTACTACGTGTCCATCGTAGGACTGTGCTTGTATTACCTGGCAATGAGCTTCCAGGCGGAGCTGCCCTGGTCGAAATGTGATCCTGAGTGGGCCAACTGTGTGCCATCAGCCCCCAACCACGACATCATTACAACAAACGAAAGCAGAAGTAGCGCTGAACTTTACTTTGTGTAAGTTCTGAAACGAAATATCTATGAAAAAATTATATTTGATGATATAAAAAATATTCATTTATTTTTAAATTTTAGTTTTTAAGTAATTTTAAGTTAATGTAGGTATTATTATAAAATTATTTCTGTTAAAAAAATAAATGGATTCATTTATTATTATTAATTTAACTTATTTTTATCTATTTTCAGTCATACGGTTCTGCAACAAAACAAGGGCCTGGAAGAAGGACTTGGTTAGTGTCTATAGATTTATATTATCCTATTTGTTAATACAAATATTAAAGGAACTTCGAGACAAAATATTTACGTACCTATAAGTTAATAAATTTTACAGAGCGATTGATGCATGAGTGCATTTTTTACTTATTTTTACTAATATTTCGATACTAATAAAAAAATCTTAAATAGGTACATAATAATACGTGTAATAAAAATTACATTGGAACTTATTATTATAGCTGAAAAGCTAATTTTAATTAGTGTTGTGTTAAATTACAGGAGCTCCTGTATGGTATTTGGCGTTATGCCTTTTCGCGTCTTGGGTCATCATCTTCGTGATTGTAGCTCGAGGAGTCAAGAGTTCTGGAAAAGCTGCTTACTTCCTTGCCATATTTCCATATGTGGTTATGCTCATCTTACTCATCACGTTAGTACTGAGATATTTATTTGTGACTTGTTAGATTAGGTATTTTGTTTATGTTTTAGTCTAACACTACCATTACTATTATTTCAGTACATTATTACTGAATGGCGCTGGTAAAGGAATCCTCTTTTTCATTACACCGCAATGGGATAAACTTCTAAAACTTGAGGTAAATGTTAAAAATATTAAAGCTCTATTAAGCTTAACAATTTCTACCGTTGAAAATATCTTTGCGATTTGATTTAAATTTTGACTTAAAACTACACTTGCGAGCAAAAGTATGGAATCACTTACATGAAGTTGTTTCCACGCGATCTTGTGTACTAACCAATTTGTTAGNTTGACATTTGGCACGAAAATTTAATAAAGTTTTCGGTTTTTTCGATCAACTCCCAAGTTTTATCAAACTTTTATAAAACTTGGGATTGTATGTTCTGGATTCTGTACCTCTTACCCTGTACTCTGCAATAAGCTCTTACGACGACCCGGCTAGTTACATCGGATACTAATTATGTCCATGACGAAGGAGAACAGACCGCCTAAAAGGCAACGATCAGANAATGCACACATTGCACACGCGTCGCACAAATATATCAAGCTCATAATACGTGGCAGTTCTGAAAATGCGAATACCCACTCTTCCCGGATTGCCCCACTTAAAGTACACGACTTTCCCCTTTCGCTTATTCCCCATTAGTACAGAAATAGTTGTATTTTATTCCTATACGCAATAATAACGGTAATTAAATTAAATATTAGCCAACGATATCGTTGAATTAAAAAAATAAAAAGGACATGCAATATTTTCATCTTAAACATTTGGGTACCGAAAATCGCTACTCCCACAACTATTCCTTAGTTACCTATGTACACACGGCCACACTGTTAACTATCCATTTCCGTTTTTGCTCTCGCTTTTATCAAATGGTGATTCTTTGCGATATAACGAGACGACATGACAGGCAATGGATAGTTAATACTGTTGCCGGCGATGGTATGTTATATTGTAGAGAAAACTTTTGCAATTATTTGAACAATTCTTTATTATAATTGATTACACTTTCCTATCAAGATAAATGTGATTAATTTCTTACTTTTACCTCGACTGTCGGTAATTATGAATAATTTTCTATTTATCACATTTACCGTAACACACAGACAAAACAGGCACGTGTAATAAGTCCTCGGAGATTATACATAAACGGTCTTATTCATAATAAAATGCTAATATAGGTTTAAAACCTACATTAGCTAAAACGTTTGATAGGCTTAAAACACTCTTATAAACCTCTGATAANCGAGGGTCGATTTTAAGGTTGGTGAAGCTCAGATTACCTGTCTCTGTGTTGCGAGGACTGATCTACCTTTCATCAATTTTCTATTATAAAAAACCTATACAGTCCACTTTCAAATCAAATTCCCTGAACCAGCGTAATAAACGCAATTTTCAGTGCGACATACGCACACAAATTTCAAGCCCTTAAAATTTTAAACTAGGTAATGAAAAAAATCATCCCCACTTTACATGGAGGGGAGCTACCCTAAAAAAATTTGTTTTTTTTTTTCAAAATTTTATTTTATCGTTTTGTCGGCGTGATTAATATACATACCTCCACAAAATAACAGCTGTCTATTGTGAATAGTTTCCAAGCAAAACCTCGGACAGACCGACAGACATATCGAAACTATACTAAACATCAAATAAACCGCACCATCCGCGACGCGAATTTTAAAGATTTTCTTCTGACACAATCACAGTGCCCCAACTATATTTGTGTTATTTGAAAGCCCAATAAATATCCTTAAACGGTCTTATTCATAATAAAATGCTAATATAGGTTTAAAACCTACATTAGCTAAAACGTTTGATAGGCTTAAAACACTCTTATAAACCTCTGATAAAAAACGTTATTCATAATCGTTTATAAACCTTTGATAGCTAAAACAGAGTTTAATATTTTCTTTCCANAATTCCAGTCACCAAGCCGCCAGGAAAAAAAATCCCTTTCTTGCAAGTTATATTACAAATATGTTATAGGCATAAATAATTAGGTAATTTCATCGTCTAAATAGTTAGTTGAGTAAATATTTCTATTAATATAGTATTTAAGAATTCTATCAACATAAGTCCACACAGGTTTTCTAAATTTCCACTTTAGCGTCAGTTTACAAGCTGATTTTTTTATAAAAATACTATTTATATTCTTAGATTTAAGCATTTTACAATAAGAAATCACAAATTCAAAGAACGTGACATACCCAAAAATCAAAGTGATTTTTACACCATTATTCTTCTTTAATTCAACATAAAAATAGCTTAATACCTATAATAAAATAACATCTTCTTTTAAATATTTACTTTGAAACGATATTATAATTAATTCATTGTTATTGTTTTGCCATAAACATTTGAAAACTATTAAAAAACGCCGCGCGCGAATCATTTCCAATGATGCCCCTTGAAACGCCGCGCTTCGCGTAAACGCTCTTAAAGCTTCATCTTTATCCCAACTAATATTATAAATGCGAAAGTAACTCTGTCTGTCTGTCTGTCTGTCTGTCTGTCTGTCTGTCTGTCTTTCTGTCTGTCTGTCTGTCTGTTACGCTTTCCCGCTTAAACCTCGCAACCGATTTTGATGAAATTTGGCATAGAGATAGTTTGAGTCCCGGGAAAGAACATAGGATAGTTTTTATCCCGGTTTTTGAAACAGGGACGCGCGCGATAAAGTTTTTCTGTGACAGACAAAATTCCACGCGGGCGAAGCCGCGGGCGGAAAGCTAGTGTTTTAATAAAGAGATGAAGTTTTCACTGTGTTAAATAATCCCAACTAATATTATAAATGCGAAAGTAACTCTGTCTGTCTGTCTGTCTGTCTGTTACGCTTTCCCGCTTAAACCTCGCAACCGATTTTGATGAAATTTGGCATAGAGATAGTTTGAGTCCCGGGAAAGAACATAGGATAGTTTTTATCCCGGTTTTTGAAACAGGGACGCGCGCGATAAAGTTTTTCTGTGACAGACAAAATTCCACGCGGGCGAAGCCGCGGGCGGAAAGCTAGTATACAATATATTACGATTTTGCCTAACTACCTGCATTAGTAATCACACTCATCAAGAGAATAAATACGAAGTTTTATTAAAATCGGATCATTATTCACGGAAATACAATTCAATAAACAAAGCAATCCGGAAAAAAATCACACTACGGAGAAAATTGAGTTTTGCGCATAAGCTTTCCTAGTTAAATAAACAATAAATAAATCTTTATTTTCATTAACAAAGGTATTGATCGATGCCTCTTTTTTTGGAATATTATTATGTGCTTGATTTTATACAATACTTTACTTTACTTTTGCTTAAAAGTTTGTTATTTTATTGCTAGCTTATTATTTTGTTTTAAAAGAGATGTTTGCTGTTTATCTTTAGTTTTGTTATGAAGACTCTTTCCTTGGTAAACATTTTACATTATAGGTTTAAGATCCAGCCTGCCAATTAAATAATAATGCCACTCAGTAGGTATAACATGGCACGCGCGAGTTGCAGCAGCGATGCATCTTCCCAGGAGCTCCACTTCCGCGGACCAAATTGTGTCTGAATATATTGTCTGGGGCACAGTGGAAAATAGTTCAGTATTATACTGTAATTTTTATTAATTCGAAACACCAAAAGTATCATAACGAAATAAAATGTGTAGGAAAAAAGATAAATTTCGTTCGTCGTTTCACAACCAAACATAACCAAAGTCCTGTAAAAGTGAGTAAGTTATAAGAGCTATCACTACATAGATAAAAGATTGGTCTTAGGTAAAAGACTTAGGCTACATTGTCTAAGAAAATAAAAGAGTGAAATATTTTTAAATTTTATGGATTTTAAAGAATCTAAAAGTGCACTCTTGTACCTAAGTAAGAAATTAAGAATAGAATTACGACCGTGCTTTGACGCATTATAAAGACTCTGTGATGTATAGTGTTAATGAAAATTGCACTTTTATATTACCATACCACGGACGGATTTCTATTTCACAGTGTTTATACTTAAAATGGCTCACAGTTGTTCAACAAAATTATCAAATGTTTTATTACTGAAATAAAGAAATCTCACTAAAAATATACCACGAACATTTACTACCAATGCAACCTCTGCACTGTGGCGTCGGTTTCTCCCTGACGCTAGATTTCAGTGCTAATTTTGTTCCTAGATTTATAGCTCCAGGCAGATGCTTCTGATTACAGAATAATGTTTTCAGAATTTTAGTTTATGTGGAAAAAGAAGGAAGCTTCAAGGAAAATAATTGAAAGTTTAATTTTTTTCTCTTTATGTTCTGTGTAGCTTCTATGACAATCTCACTTGTCAATTAAGTAAATAATATTTGAGTACAGCAGTGGACCAGTTCCAGCTTACCATTACCGATTTTTCTCTCACTCTCATCAAATGGCGATTCTTTGCGATAGAACGAGATGACATGGCCGGAATGGGTAGATATATGGCCCATTTATGAAATCAACATTGAAAGTTGTGCAAAATTGCACATTTTTGTAAATAATAAAACTTAATCAAACCTATTAATATAAATTAGTATCATTTATTTGTAACAGAGCAACGAGCCACTCTGTGAGATGTTCACCCATTCACGAACCAAATGTCATACATTTTACCTATCTGAACGTTACATTACATAGAAACGCTCTAGTCTTTAGTCACCCTTATGTCAACAACAAAGGCAAAAGATAGCGAAAAAAAATACACACAATGCCACCTACAGTGGAATGGCTGAAACACGACGCGTACCATTGAAAGTAATTCAAATATCTTCCCAAAGATGGCGTTGGCTTGTTTAGCAACAATGTGGTGCAAAAATTATTCAATAGATGGAGTTATAACTGAATAATAAGTTAGAGTTTTGAGTGTTCTTCGTAACTTCATTTTGCTAAAATTTTTCAGTCTCCCCAAATTGTCTGGAAACATTTTAAATAACAAATAAAAGCTGAAATTAAATGATGATAAGAATCACTTACCCGGTGGAGGATTGAACCTCCTTTTCATGTACTCCAGAACCTTTTCACGAATCCCTCGCTTCTTTTGTTCGCCTTTCTCGTCCGCATTCTGTGACAATACAAACCAAATTGAAACATAACAAATCTTAGAAATGTATAGCTTTTCATTCCCATCGACACTATTACCATAACTAAATATATGCTGTTGCTTTAGTGTCTAACGCATGATGTTTTCACCCATAATTAAGTTTGCATTTAACAAGTGTCATTTTTTATAGTTACTTTTGTGAAGCCTCAATGTAACCTTGTTGGTGTTCAAATAAATATCCTTTTAAATAAAGATAGGACAACTCTAACTGGAAAATGGATCAATCTATTTTCAACATAGAATGTTAGAATGTTCAAATATAATAATATCCCAAAATGTACAGAAATAATTATATTATTATGTACTTTTTTTGTCACTAACGGTCTTATTCATAATAAAATGCTAATATAGGTTTAAAACCTACATTAGCTAAAACGTTTGATAGGCTTAAAACACTCTTATAAACCTCTGATAAAAAACGTTATTCATAATCGNATGCCCATTTGGCGCGGATTGAGGACACTAATCGCCTTAATGAGTTGTTTGTTAGTAACGATTCTACACTAAAAGTAATATTTATTGAACATTAATGTAGGTAACTACTTCGTGAACAGGTGTGAGGCGTGAGCTCTAAACATATTTATTGTTTTGTAAAAGCCACGAAGTAGATTTAACTAAATTGCTTATTTTACTTTATTATTAAGTAAATTTAATTTTGTTTGCATTAGTCATATTTTTGCTGTCATAAAGGTTTTTTAAAAATCCTCTTTCCTAAGTCCTAATACGAATATAATCTTGAAATTACATGTAGCTTAGAGAAAAATTCATTCCAGAAGAAACAAACAGCTCAAACTACTAAACTTATTTCACTATCGCCATCCCTTTTCTTAAACTATTTTTTATTTATTCGGATTTGGCCATTTTAACATTACTTGTATTTACTTAACTACTACTTGTATGTACTTGGTTCTTGTAATACCTAATGAATCTTACATTTATTATGAACTAGCGGCCGCCCGCGACTTCGTACGCGTGGACCCCGTTTTACCCCGTTTTAACAAATGGTACACTGTGATTCAATCATAAATTATAGCCTATATGTTATTCTGGGTTATAAACAATAATACTGTAAAGTTTGGTCGAATTCCATACATAGATCTAATTAATAAAGTACATAACACGTCAGTCTGACGTGTAGTAGATTTGCCTCTTTACCAAGAGCGACATAAATTTTTTTGCAAAGTCATCATCAACTTGAGGAAGTAGGACATTTAACCGAATGTGGAGTGTGATGCAATGGACTGTGACCACACGTTTGTTTACTGCAGCCTTTTGAAAGCGACGCGTTCAGGTTGGGGCTATGTTTATTTACTACACAATATAAAGATGTTCTAAAGCACTTTATTTTATTTTATTTATTAGGACAACTAACAAGACAAACACGCATACATGAAAATGATTTATTATAACTAAAAGTGATTCTTAAAATACTGTGTAAACTCTTTATAATGTCACTAAATTCCACGACAAACTACCTTGTTTTCTATCCGCTCTACCGTGTGTCTAGATTTAAATAAGTGCTGTTAAAGAGGTTAGAAGTTTCCATTTATGCAGAAAAAATGATTACACTCTAACGTGTACTGTAAGGAAAATTTGATTGATTATCCGCATAATTACATAGTGTTACCTACTGAAATCATTCAAAGATCCTACCTACTACTAACTGCGTATAACGAGAGAACGGAGGTCACTCGTCGCCTGCTCTACGTAAACGAAGTTGACCGATTTTGGTTTGGCACAACTCGTATATGCCGAATCCGCGATTTGCTGAATTTAAATATTCTTATGCCCGTTTTCACCATCAATCAATATTTTTTTTTTACATAGGAGTCACTTACAAATTAGGGATCATCATTATTGGTCTCACTCGGAAGTCTAGTCTAGGATCTAGTTTGTGAAGTTCAATCCCTAATCATATGTGGTTGGCTGTAATGTAACATAATCCAGCTCACCTCGCCTCTCGCGCACGTTTAGCTAAGTCTGCGCGAGCGCAACTTTCTCCTGCGCGCGGCCTCGTCTCAATGAAACACATCGCTGTTGTCCTAAACCGCGAGGATTTCATGTGGGTTACTTTTATATGCTGTTAAATATAGTAGCCTCTCACTCGGTGGACCGACGATCTGGTGAAGGTCGCGGGAAGCAACTGGATGCGGACAGCGCAGGGCTTGACTTCTAGATGTTGAGGAAATCCTTAGGCTGCTGTGGACACCTTTTGGTTAAAACGAATGCTGTTAGTTGTACATAATAATGACTCAACATTTAGTAATGTGACTTTATTTATTAGAATGTAAGCTAATATTAGGTTACTTTTGCTAACCGAAAGATGTAGAGCCAGTCACAAGATTACATTCTCTAAAAGTCGTTGGTTTAATATTCGCATATTATATGGAAGTCAACCATGCAAAGCAACGCCGACACAGATAGGCAGGGAGAAGGACCCACAAATGATGATGAATTAGCCCAATCATGTCATCATCCGACCCTCTTACTATGGCCATGTATTGTATTAGTAGCTCCCAGGATACCGGCAACGCATGCCGCATCCTCCGAGGGGAAAAATAATATTAATTTAATTGAGAATAAGTTGCATCAATATTCTTATGCCCGTTTCACCATCAATCCCTAATTTTTAAGTGACCTCTATGGTAACACATAATAGGAATTTTGTTTTCAAAGGGGTCACTTAAAAATTAGGGATTGATGGTGAAAACGGGAATTATTCGAATAAATTCAAATTCTATAAACGTATGGCACCTCCTTCCATCAGAAAATTGGTGTGGTGATTCTTTAAAACCTTCATCTCCTTTGACAAGCGTCATAGAGTGGCACTGTGCCACTAGAAGGCCTAAATAAAATAGTTTATTTTGGGGCTATACAGCCAGGAAATCCTACAGCACTAATGTAACCTCAATTTAGTACAAATACCTCAATTCATTACTCTTAACGTGAACTCGTTTATTATCTGTTTGCATTGAAAAAGTTTCGGCGGCAGTGCAGCAATTAACATTGGCATGACATTGGTTACAAAGGCATTACATAAAAACTTGATTACCTTTTTAAATTATTTTATGTTTCCGTAGTGTGGTGTCTAAAAAAGTTATTACCAATTTGCGAATTAATCAGCTAATCTTATCTGCTTACTCGTTTTTTTGTCTGTGAACACATCTTTTTCTAGTTTATGTTTCACAACTTAATTTCGCTGTGAAAGCTAATTTAAAATTACCGAAAAATAACCGCTTCAAAGTAGTTAAGCTTGTGTATTTTAACTAGATATTGGATTGGGAAATAAAGTGATACATTATTTTGCCGTAATCAGCTTAAATAGGCTGCATTTGGGGCAGAGGTCATTGTGATAGTGTCTAATTAAGTAACTTAAATTACTCTAAATTAACCAACTTAATAGATGTGTCCCTAATAACTTTGATAAACTAAATAACAAACTAAAGAGTCAACCTTTTGTATAATAAATAGCACCTGTTTCAACACATATTGTATTTAATTGCGACTTCAAAATTGTCAAGCAGTATGTCTTGTTGTCAGTATGTTATGTATTTAAAATTCGGTAAGTATTTTGCCAACTCCTGAAAATGTTCTCTTGACCATACGATTATGTAGTGCTAAAACTTAAACAGTTATCTAAAAGATACATATCAATGGCCTCATTTATTAATGATTTATGTAAATTATACATAACAACTATTGTTTTGTTTTTTATCGGTAAATTAGCTTTCCGCCCGCGGCTTCGCCCGCGTGGATTTTTGTCTGTCACAGAAAAACTTTATCGCGCGCGTCCCTGTTTCAAAAACCGGGATAAAAACTATCCTATGTTCTTTCCCGGGACTCAAACTATCTCTATGCCAAATTTCATCAAAATCGGTTGCGAGGTTGAAGCGGGAAAGCGTAACAGACAGACAGACAGACAGACAGAGTTACTTTCGCATTTATAATATTAGTTTGGATTGTCAATACTCTTTGAACTCGTGATAAGACGAGTTTTTTTTTAATTTAGATCATAGGTAGATCGCTGTTAGAGTTCCCAACATATTGTTTAGAACTGTGTCAATAGAATAGGGAACTGAAAAAAATATCGCGTTTTAACTGTTAACAAAAAATATTTCAGTTTTATCTTGATAAATAGTAGTTTAAGATAAACTCTAACCATAGCGAAAATGTTTGGCCAACTGCCTATGTCGAGGTATTGTGTTCCAACATAATGTATTCAAGACCTTGTGATATTGACCTGCATTGTTTTAACTATTCCAATCGGTCAATGTTTCGTATTTGAACATAATTATGTTAATTAAGTTGCATACAGCACCTACCTTCTCTACTTTATTTACTATGGCGGCTATACAAAGATGAAGAAACTTCTGGTGACAAACCAACTCATAACTACATTTTTCATATCTTATCCTATTATCTAAACTTAAGTTATTTAAGTGCTCTATTCCAGGAGTACACTGAGGTAACTTTTGAGGTAGAGGGTGTTGCGCGCTTGATTCACGGCTTTTTCGTAGTCACACTACGGCTTTACGTCCTTCTATAGATGACCCACGCTGAACTGTCCCACCAAACTCAATGACAGGGGGGCGCTACCATCGTTCAACTATATGGTTTCCAACATAGTAAAAATCGGAACCAGCGATCCGGTATAGACGGTGGCGCCCCGCTGTCAATGTCATGCACAGGACAGTTCAGTAAAATCAAAAAATCAAAATAAACACCGGTCCACTGCGCTTTATTTTTTTAGTTGTAATCTTTAAAAATACCGTGATAGGGGAAACGGTTATTGTGATACTTTTGTCAGGGTCAGATAATATTATCTGCCTCATTGACTAAAACCAATGGACAATAATAAGCATATATTTTTGTTTCTTCTTCTCTACATAAGGAAGTTTCAAATTATGGGTAGGTATGGGTGTACCTGGTTTGTCATCCCAAGATGTATCTCCTCGATAGCTATTGAAGTATTGAAGTCTCGTGATTGTAAAACAATATGATGAATCGTGTCTCGTACGCGTGACTTTTCGGATGTTGTTCCAGAAGTCACGTGATGTTATACAACGGACAACGATGCAGCGTACAATGGCGGACGCGCTGTTTATCAATAGACGCACGTCGTGTTGTAACTTTCGCGACACAAAACAATATATTTGGCGGTTCACGATTTAAATAAACAACATAGTAATGCTAGATGGCTCTAGCTCAGGTGGTTTTGAAAACACTTGCTTTATGAATTGACCAGATGATGGAAAATGTCTGTCCTAGTCTCCTAATTGCTTATAAGACAGGCCCCCTTAATTGATATTTATTGTCCGTGGTGCATATCTTTTCTTAGAGGTTATTAAACCTTTGTCATCCGCTTTGCAATAGAGGGAAGTCGAACCTTAATTTCGAACTCCTCCTATGTTCTTCTGATTCCCGCAACGAAATT